ATAAGATGACTGATAATCGCTTATCTTCATGGATCTTCAATGTTATATGAGGTCGAATATTAAAACATGTAAAAGAAATAATTTGATTGGTCACTGAATGGTACCTAATTTTATGTGATCTAGTCCTATGTGCTGGTCGAATTCTATTGATCATTTAATATTGTGGCCACTAGACTAGATGAGTCGGCTGATAAGTGTTAGCAAGCACGAAACCTAAGTCGATGGCTTCCTGCTGATTACCACCAACCAACTAACATCGATCGAAGTGCATCTTGGTGCCGAGCCGCTTAGTCTGGGGCCATATTGCAAAATGATCAATGGGATTCGGCCAGCACATACGAATGGACAATAGGAAGTTGGTTACACTTGAGTGACCAACCAATGTATCTAATCCAGTTGTACAGGAAGTCAGTTGTGACCCGAATACACTACTGACTATTACACTGGGTGACGTGCGTTTGAATCTTAGGTGGGATATCAGTTCCATCGGAGTTGCAGATACGCTTTGCTGATGAGTGCCAACAAACGAAAATTCTAGATCCATGGCTTTCTACCGATCGCCTCCATCCAACTAACATCTATCAAAAGGAATACTGTCATTTGGAAAAATCCGATATTGGTGGTATCTAGACTTCAAATCATCCCATCCATTGTCGGTTAAGGCAGGATTAGTCAGATGTCTAAATGACAGAGCTAGAAAACTGACTAGTCAGTAATGCAAGAACCTAAACAAGGAATTGAAACACGTAAAAGAAGCGCTAATAGTTAGTAATTATCCTCCTCAGTTTATTAAGAAATTCTTACGGACACACAAAAAACGAAAAAATAACAGTCACATGAGTGCAACTAATAACGACAACACGAGTAAAAAGGAGTCCACAGCCTCCATTGTATTACCCTATAAGGAGGATACCTCAGAAACTTTGTGTAGAATCCTCAGTAGAGCTGGAATTAGGGTGGCATTTGAACCTACAAACTCACTCAGAGATAATCTTTGTCGGCTGACTTAAGGATCCGACAGAACCAATTAAGCAAAAATAATATAGTCTATCAAATACCATGTAGTGACTGAGTCAGGTCAAGTATATAGGTTAAACTAGTCGATCGGGGTCAGTTAGAATTCAGCTAGAATAACAGACCGAAATAAGATCAATAATGTAAAAAAAATTCGGCTATTGCTATGCATGCATTAACACACAACCACACAATAGGGTGGGATAAAGCCACTGCACTTAAGTCCAATATAATTAGGTGGCGAAAGATTGATTACTGAATCTTTGTTCATCGAATCAACACTCAACACATGTAATAGAAATGATACAACACCTATGCCAGAGATATGGAAAATTTAACTACCAATAAAAACAAATCATATGACGTGACATAACCATGAAAATCAGATGTTGGAAGTAGTGTGATTACATTGATATGATTATGAGCAATGATAATTTGTGCTTGAAACTTCGTCATCAAGTAGTATCACTGTGTGTTATAAATCAAATAAGCCAATCTAATGTGGGAAAGATTCTGTTGGTTTCAGAGAATTCCACTCTACAGATTAAAAATATATTTTCATTCATATAAAGAAAGGTTAAGGGACTTTGGAATCATAACCGCTAATCCTCGAGATTGTTTTCCATCGAGAACTATTATTCTTCATTAAGTTGCATGCTATACGCTTTCAGCAATACTAACTCCGGTCTGTTTTCGCTTTTCTTCGACAATTTTTGATGACTAAATAGACAAACATTAGTTACTAATTACCATTTAATAGTATACTTGCAATTCTCCGTTGTTTCAGTGGATAGAATTGTTCGATCTCTGTTAGCATACGGGCTCCTATGCGGATGCCTTGATATTACCTGAATGTCAGCTATGTTGATTTAGTTGGTTGTGGCTAGCAGTGGAATCCGGGAAGTGGGTTTCGTCCTGTTTGGGACTCATCAGCTGGACGTACTTGCACCCCAGTGAGTGATGTTGTTCCTACTGAGACTCGAACCTCGTACCCATCGCTTGAAACTCCATGGCGTTATCCACTATGCCACGGAGGAACGACAGCCACTGCTTGTACAATGGGTAGTGGTTATTACTATTTATTGATGTACTTGTAATTCTCCGTTGTTGTTAGTCGTACTTTGACTAACATAGCATATATAGCAAATGCCTTATCTGTGCACAGATCTTTTTGTGATCGATATCAAGACGACATTCTGACTATGATGTCCAATTCATCTGTGGAAAAATTGAAGATGGCGCATTTTATTCAAACTACATGTTACTAATGTGTGTTGTCTTTCACGAAATACATTTAGTTTCAGTATAATAATTTTTTGTAAGTGTTATTTCCTACCCCTTTTCCACTGACTTCCTATGTCACTTGTTGTCCAATCAAAATGCACAAGGAAACATTCCACGTGATTGGTTGCACGAAATCGAAAAGTACTGCAGAGATCAAACTGAGGAAGGGTTGGTCGATTTTCCCGATGAGCGACGATACCATCCGAAGCTTTGCAACCGACAACGAATCAATCTTTATGGAGAGTGTTTGCCTTGTCGGGTTTCAGTCTTCAGAGTCTTTGGAAGTAGCCTTAGACGAAAGTGAGAAACAGACGTGTACGCACTACATTGTGAGAGATTCACATTTGCAAGGTGACCGAAGAGCCTACGCCAAATTTGTTTGTTTTAGGGCTGGTGGATGCCGGTCAATAGAGGGTATAGTAACAAAAAGGTCAGTTCTGTTTGCTATCAACATTTATTTCATACAATACCCCCTTAAATACTCTTCTACGACGTTCGTGCTCTCCTAGTTTTTAGAAGGTTTGTGGACAGTCACTTGGTGAGTGTTAACTCACAATCATCTCTGAAATTCTCTTTTTCATGATAATAGTTCTTGGGTGAGGAAGTTGAATTGGACAGCATAAGACCATTGGTAATGTCCGGCAGAGCTGCATTTAGTGTTGTTGATTTCATTCATGCACACTATAAGCGACTGAATAATCAGGACTAGACAACATGAAATTGGTTACACTCTCGTGACCAATCAATACGAGTGAATAATCAGCATGTGTTCAGTATGCATTATCGCCTCTTCTATCACTCTAATTTAACCATTTTGGTGTAGGTAGTCATGAAAAATTCCACGAGCACATAATCAGTCAAGGTGGATCAACATCCTTCTCTGTCACAGAATATAGAGATCTGAAATACTTTTATTTCGGACCAGCGGAATTTGTCTTGCTGTGAATGACATCTTTTGTTTTTTTAAATAAAAATATTTCCTTATTGCAGAAGTTTCTAGACACGGCTTACTCCGAGAATATGAAGTAGTGTTGTAGTAACTGATGAGTCGCTTTCATGTCAGAATAAAACTGTTACTTCTATCAATAATAATTCACTTAAAAATATATAATTTCATCTCACTGATTTTGTTGTTATTAACAGACCGATATCTATTGAAGTGGTATAAGCAAGAGTTTCACTTATACGGATTTCCTTCGCATTATATTAGAAGTTATGACTGCCTGCTGGTTACGTTACATTAGTGAAAGGATGTTGGGTACATCAGCTTCATAATTGTTTAAACGTGTGTCAGTCACATAGGAATCTTGTTCGATGTCATTGAAGATGTGTTCATTAATAAGCCGGAATTAATGATAATGAAAGTTGTAACGATTATTGACTGTTTGTGGACAAGTGCGTGTTTTCATTTACTGCTGATATACTTCATAGGATGTTACTTTGTTACTGATTATTATTATTATTTGTCTCGGGTTCCTAGTGGAACATAGGACTTCAGTAGTACGTTTCCATTTCACTCTGTTCACTGCAGTCTTTTGAACCTGGCTCCATGACTGCCCGCAAGCCTTCGTTTCTTCCTCACATGATCTGCTCATAAGATGTTACTACTTATTCATTTCTAAGCGTCAATATTCGCTGTATGTAACGTACTTAGGGATGACAGTTTATCATTATCGTGAAGGCTTATGTTGGTGGTATAGTTTTAATATAACTTGAAGCGTGGATTCAGATAAAGCTACGAACATCCAGACCATATTTATAACGAATTTACTGGAATAACTCAAAGCCCGAGTGGCTTTTATTTATTGATTAGGGGGTTTATAGGCCGGTTAATAACAGTCAACCGTCTATGGCAATTTTTTCAAAAGTTTACATGTAGGCTAAAGTCAAACCTCCAGGTTATTGAATGATGTAAAGTGTTTCAAGCTTATTACTTCTGTTGACAGTCAGACGTTTCTATCGAGAACACCCTATTAAACTTATCTTGGTATCACAGGTATATTATTTACTTGGTCAGTAGCTGGGCTTTGTAGCTACTTTGGTGGAACACCAGTCTAGTCATCCGAAATCCTGTCATTTCAATCCCAACCTGACTTAGGTCTTCATTTCACTTCCAGTAACTACCCAGCATTAATAATATTTCTCAGATATCCTCATTAATTACCACTACAATCTCTGTATCTAATTCAATCCGACGTGGATTTCGATTGCGGTTAGTGTATTTACGATGGAGGGACAGTTAAGAACCAAGTATTCACATGACGGCTGAACATAACCCTCGGTGACTGAAGTAAATATTACACACAGTCATCAGCAGTCTAGAGGTTCATTCGATGGATCTCCGGTTGTCATCTTATTGCGATATGGGTTTCCATTTTACCTTTGATCATGATTTAGTACCAATAACATCAATTGTTCCAAGCCACGGCTATCCCAGATAGCCTCACCAATATAATTATCTGATGGTAGGTTAGACTGAAATATAAATGACTGGTGTTTTCCTACATTTGGCTGGTTATATGACTCCTTTACAATTCGCTTCGGTGCTTCCCTTGAGATGTGAGTTTGGCACTTGTCGCTTCGAAAATCAGTAAATAACAAAAACGTGGGCATAATATCAGGGCAACTAGGCAGACGTATATAAAGTTGATTCAGTAAACTGAGTATTTAGAAAACACAAAGTTTAGTTGAAATGCACTTACTTAATACACCTATCGCTAGCCCACTCAACGCGAAGGCGAATGCATGACCTCTTTCTTTTTCATCAACAAAATAGGTGGCCAACATGCCCATTCCTGTTTGTAGAAACAAATACCAGATTATATAAGTAAAACATCAACTTATCCGTCTTCTGCACGCTAAAATACTTTTTCAAGTTAGTATGCGTCATGGAATGACTTGAGTTAGAGGACCATACAGAAAGTAGGAGCACTGAACGGCTGTTTTGTGTTGTACGTACCTATGACCCTCCCCTCCAGAGATTCAACCCCGGACATTTGAGTTTCGCTAGTACCAGGATATAATCGAGTCGGTCTTACTCCTGTCAATTCACGATTTAGCACAACCTTCACTCAGCCCCTTTGTCCAGTATTCGTCCTCCCGTCTGACTCCGTTTTCCATACCGATTGTGATGTCTCATCAGAAATTAGGGAAATCTCATCTTGAAGATAATAAATCCTGATAAACCTTAAAAATGGTTATATACCAATAATAATATTGGTAATGGTTATGATAAAACAGATGCAGCTGAAAGGAGAATTCAGACCCTTTTCTCTCTCTCTTTCATGCAGAAAAGGCAACATAGGAACGTTATCCAAGAGTTTTAGTGCCTTGGACCTGGGTGTCATTAAAATCAACGAAACTCATCTCGAAACAAGGTGTGTGGGTTAAAAGACCCTATGAAACCAGCTAAGTAAGATAAACTTGCCGATATAAAAGGTTAAAGTCAGAGTTTATTACACATTTCAAGGATGAAAACAACGCTCAACTTTAGCTACTGTACAAATGCTCTTATTTACTCTATATTATGTGACAGAGTGGTAACCCTGGAAAGAAACTAAGCAAGGTACTATAAGAGACTGATTAGTAAAGTGTTGCTTATCAAACCAACGCCGAATACATCACATAAGGATGACTAAATAGTTGGTACAGATATCTGGAAAATCTTAGGAATTATAGGAGTTTTGAAAAGAACTCTGTTTAGTTCGCAGTTAACTTCCCACCACTATTCAACGACCATTTTTGTAATCAATAAAAGCAAGGATTCACGCGCTATATAGCACTTTCCTATGCAATCATTCTACACTTTAAGAAGACGTTGGAATTAAAGGTTAACGAAGGAATATATTCTTTTTCAATTAGCCATTCGTTTCAGCCTCTACACTAATATACCTAAGTTTACGATTCAATCAAAATACCAAAAACAGGTGGGGATCAGGGGTTGGCTAACAATAATTACAGACAAATTAAGAAAGTCATAATGATGAGTTTGTGAAATCAAGGCGCAAATAATCAAAACAGTAATTAAAATTGGCAGTATGAAGCACTTAATTATAAGGTTAAATGCGTAGCAACAGGTAGCGCAAATGGGATGCTTTTACTCTCGACTGGTCACTCATAAACAATAAATAATCACGTAAGAACCACAAAATAATGAACATTGGTAGCATATGAGAGGGAAGAGATGTATACAGCAATACTAGGAGTTGCATCATATTGATGGCCACAGTAATGCAACTGGTTCAACAAACTTCTTTCCAACACAAAGCTTCGGCTTGTCAAGGTGGGTTGAAATCACCACTGATGTGTGAAGTAAACGAATGTATAATCCATAGGGTAGGTTGACTAGCATACGATAAATTATTTTCAATGCATTTCAATTATCCACTTGGTATCCAGTGTCAACTAAGTGTGCAAGAATGGAGCCACTTATTGTTCTAATCTACACCTTGTTCAACTGTGATGAGTGGTGCTCAGAAATTCGACGATGAACCTGCTTCGTTGTATGCCCAATACAGCTACGTCATTTGGAGCAGTTGAACTGATAAATGTGTATGGGGGTGACAGAATCAGATACTCTGTCTATATTTCTTGCACCTAGAATCACGTGTTTGTGGAAGATAGGATATAAGTTAGTGTCTTGGAATGCGGTTGGTAGGGCTCTATTACGTATTGTATGATGATGTTACTGACGGTGTCACTCTTAAATTCCGGCTTCAAGAAGATTTGTTTGTTAATGTTTGTTTGGGTTCTTGTCTTGACTTTCGTACATTGATATGTTTGATTAGAATATAGTTGGATTGTCAGCCATTCCTACTTAGCAGGTCATGGATGGTGGTTACTTCTTCCTCAATAACATCATCTTAGCAAATAGTTATGACAAGGTATCCTAGACATTTCACTAGATTTCTCCTATATTGGAAGGACGAGGCACTAAAGAAGTGCTTGTATTGACCTATCTATCGATGCTGGTTTTCTATAAATAATTCGTTTCAGCGTAAGTCTTTCTGCTATAAGCTGTTATACAGTGTTCATCGCTGAAGTTCCTACGAATTCCAATGGAAGTGACAACATTGAATTTATGAACTGCACTTGACTTATGTGAAAGTGTGTTTTTCGTCGCTGAGTAGCATTTCTTCTCACTTTTTAAAAATGACCCATTTACGAATAAAAATTAAGCTTTAATCACTACGAAACTAAAAGAAATTTAATTGAAAGATTTAAGGGGATTTATTTATTGATTTCAGGTGGATATTTATCATGGACTGACATAGCTTGGTGAACCACTGAAACCCAAGGTCATTGGACAATTGGTTCGTCCTAATGTGGGACTCCTCAGGAGTGAGCACCTGTGACCCCACCGCCCAGGGATCAAACCCAAGAACTTCAGGTTCCACCACCAGCAAGCTGCGACTGAGTAACTGGATCAAAATCCATCGGTGCATGGTTTCTTACTTCATGATATAGCACGACCTCCATCGAATGTCGTCTTTGAGTAACTGTCTTCATTTCCGACTTGGTTCTTACTATTGTTGTGCTCATTAGTGACTTTTTTCGAGATTAGATTTCTCATGGTTTCAATGACCGTTGATGTTTGGAGTCAGATATGGGAACACTTACTCAACGATGGTACAGGATGCTGATAATGCGAACCACTGGACTCTATCCTATTAGTTCAGTGGGAACGTGCTGGTTACATAATCTGAACGTCATGGGCTAGATCGCTGGTGGGGTTATGAGTATGCACTCCTAAGGAATCACATACTACGGTGAAACATCCATCCACTGCTTGGAGGTTTCAGCGGTCTTCCAGCTGATGTCAGTCCATGATGAATACCATTTTGGAATCCACTTTCGTATTAACAATTTCTGTTGATCAAAGTTAACCCTGGTTTGTTTAGGTTTCCAATACTTATATTGTAGTGCATAATTTAGTTGCTAGGCTGTTGGGTAAATAAAATCAGTAATTTTTGGACATGTTAAGCCTCTGTTAAGCTATTGAAACACTTGAATAAATGAACACTCATTTGGGGACAACTCTCACTAAAAACTTATATCAGCAGGGGAACGAAACAGCATGTATCTACTTGATTGTAGTCACTGCATAACGTAGAACCGGAGTCGGAAAGAACCAGTGCTATAAAACACTTGAAATAAAACGGTCCTCGGTAAGATGCTTATTCAGTGACTTGCGTTAACATATTTCAAATAACATCTATTTAGAGCTAATTAAAATGTTTGTGATAGAAGTTTGCTGATACTTTAGAGATTAAGAATTGCTTTTCTACATATTTTGTTAAAGTAAGACAGTAATATCGTGTAGAATACTATATGTTCAGGATATTTCGTCACCATGTATTTCGGCAACATTAAGGTACCACAAGATAAGTGAAGTTAGAAGTAAACACCTTCAGAACCGTAAGGGAGGTACTTCATTGAAGAAAATAGAATGTGGTAGCTATAACTACAAAAATGAGCTGGGAATTGGTTTAGTAAGTAAGAATCTGGATAGTTATGCTTATGAAAGAGAACATGAACAATGAAAGTTCAATGAATGTCAAAAGTCAATTAAATTTACCATGGAAACTGAAAATTACTCAAAATTTCACTTCCTGGACGTTCAGTTGAAAAGACATGATAGTTCCTCATGGAAATTGATTTACAGGAAAAGAAACTGGAATGGTCAATATATGCTCATCTTCAAATTTGGGTTCTTCCAGTCGTGGTAAGAAACTGAATTAATTCATTATGCACACGAATTAGAATTTGTACGGATGATACAGAAAATGAGGAGCTGAAAGTACTTAGTAGAGTGTTAATGGAGAGTGGTTATCTTTCAAGATTCATTGAGAGGAACATTAAGCCTGAGCATTTCAATGGAGAAACTCATAGGCTTCAAAAGAACGCACAGTTTATGAATATTGCATTCAAGGGAGATAAAAACATTGGTAGAAATACTGAAGAATCCGATTATTTTCTCCCATCAGCAACTGACTCGACGGTGTTAACAAGATAAGCTACCGCTTTCTGCCACCTCTATGTGCATTTACCAATTCACCTGCTCTTGTGGCGCTGGTTACGCACGGAACGCAAAGCGTGTTATATCCAAATTCATCTCCGAACATTATCCTGCATAAGCATCTAAAGGACAGTGTGAAGCCGTCAACAGCTCAGTTCTTAAGCATTTGGTTATTTCTGGTCACTGTGCTTCACGAATGACTTCTTTCAAAGTCATTTATAAAGTGAAGGCGAATATTTCGAAGCCAGTGCGTATTCCCCACCCCAACACAGCAGAAGCTCTGACAATCCAGCACTACAAGCCTGTTCTTAGTCTTCAAAGAAGATACATTCAATCTCTAATTTTGTCTTGGTCGCAATCTCCACAAGACAACTTGTTTAGTCCTGTTTTTACTTATTATAATTACAGAAGCAATTTATGATGACCTTGATTTGACCCATTAGCTATTGATGAATATATGTTTTCGGTTGTGGCTATGATTACGATGTACGGCTTTTGAAAATGATTCGTCGAAAAGAAACTTTTCGTCACTAAATTGTCTTTTATTGATTTTCCATACTGATACAGTTGTGAAAAAAGAATAAGATAATGAAGCATTCATGATGAAATGTACTTTAAAAATAAACCAGCTGCCAACAATCATCAATTTATTTACGGCGCATTGTTCACTAGTGACAAACTTCAACATGAATTTTTGTAAAAATGTAATAAAACACTGGATCCTGTGAAGTCATTTATGGATGAAGATGGTACTATATTGTGCAGAAGCAGAATTAGAAAAATAGTTACCACGGGCTGAATAGTAATTTGATTTCTGTTAGACTTGATGATTCTCGCCTTTATCTCTACGACGCTGAAAAGTCTTAAACTATAGTGAAACAGCCGTCGGAAGGTTTCAGGTTTCTGATGTTACCTTTATCGATATCAGTCCTTGGATGAGAATTACAAGAAATTTTAAAAGAGAAAAACAGTAACCTTCAAAAGAGAGATTATTATTATTATTAGTCCTTTGGGTTCCTAATGGAACATACGGTTTCAGTAGCACGTCTCCAGTGAACTCTGTTCTCTGCAATCTTTTCAACCTGGCTCCACGACAGCCCAGAAACTCTCATTTCTTCCTCGCACGATCTCCTCCATATCACCCTTGGACGTCCAACTCGTCGCTTCCCATGGGGATTCCACTCGAGGGCCTGACGCGTGATGTCCCCAGTCGGCCTTCTCACTGTATACCCAATCCACCTCCACTTATTCCCGCATATTTGTTGGGTGATAGGTTCTTGTTTGGTTCGTTCCCAGAACTCCTTGTTGCTTATTCTTTCTGGCCATCTGATCTTCAGTAGCGAGCGTAAGCAGTTGTTGATGAATGTCTGTAGTTTATTGGAAATCCCTTTCGTAACTCGCCAAGTCTCTCAACCATACACAAGCACTGACTTGACATTGGTGTTGAAAATCTGGATCTTGTTCCACATGCTGAGTGCAGAAGATCTCCACACTGGTTTCAGGTTAATGAACGCCTGTCATGCTTTTGCGATTCTGGCTTTGACATGCTCGTCTGTGCCGGCTGTAGTTGAAACAGTGCTGCCTAGGTAGGTGAGGGAGGTTACTTCCTTTAAGTTTCTTCTGTTCATGGTGATTGGAGTTTGTTGTTGTTGTTGGTGCGGTATCTTCATCACTTCTGTCTTCTCTATATTCACTTGAAGTCCCGTCTTCGCTGCCTCTTCTATCAACTTGTTAGTTTTCGCCTGTAGGTCTTCAAGTTTGTGTGACATCAGACACAAGTCATCGGCGAAATCCAGATCTTCTAGGTTCTTTTCCGCAGTTCAGCGTATCCCCCTCTTCTCGCTCTCCACTGTTTGCTGCATGATCCAGTCGACCACAATCAGGAATATCATGGGGGATAGTAGGCAACCTTGTTTCACTCCTGTCTTCACCTCACTTCAAAAGCATCACTGAGCTTCCCATTGTGAATTACTTGGCATGTGGCATCTTCATATAGTTGTTGGATGAGGTGGATAAAGGTTTGCGGTACTCCGTAGTAGTGAAGCAGTTTCCAAATTACTTCTCGGTCGACGCTGTCAAAGGCCTTCTCAAAGTCGATAAAGTTGAGGTGTAGAGTTGACTGTCATTCTCTACTCTGTTCTATGATGATGCTCGGAGTAGCGTTGCAATTTGGTCGGCACATGATTTGTACTTCCTGAATCCAGCCTATTCCGGTCGTAGTTTTGAATCTAGCGCATCCTTTAGCCTCTCCAGGATGATGCAGCTTAATATTTTGCTTGCATTGGGTGGACAGGAGAGTGATTCCGCTTCAGTTCTTGCAAACACTGAGGTCTCCCTTCTTCTGGAGTTTGACAAGGTAACCCTTCTTCCAATCTCCAGGTACTTTCAAAAGAGAGATAGGATGTGTTAATCCTTTCACTAGCAGTCACCTTCGTGAAATTGGACAGAATAACATTCAGTTGTTTGTTTGTTGTTGGAATTTTAAAGTTATGTCATTCACTCATCAGTTGTTAAGACGGATGTAACTGTGACATGCTCCTAATTTATTTGATGCACATATTCTAGTACATATATCAGAATTTGTCACTACAATATGATAGAAGCTGAATCAGACATTTGTGATGAAACATCTTCAGTACCTGACTTTGACAGTAATTACCACTGTCAATAGACAATCTTTCCCACTTCTGAATCAATAAAGTCAGAAGTTGTTGTGACTTCATTGAGTTCTGTAAAGCCTATTTTGTTATTTTACAAAGATTTGACAGGGTAATCAACTGTAGTGCAGTTTTATCTTACCTGATACTGTTGAGCAAGCAGATCCTACGCCTTGTATAGATCTGGCGACTAGCATAAAGTAATAATTTCTAGAGAATCCAAATACTGAAAAAAAGAAAGATCAGTTATGCACTTTGTATAGGTCATTCATAGATGAGTAATTCGATATTTCTTATGTAAAAACAAACCAAATGTGTTGATGGCTAGTGATAATACTTCAAGTACTTTGTTGAGTCAAATTGACCCCTAGATTTTGTAATTATTGCTACATATCTGAAGTACAAATACGTCAGTAGCCTGTCCATTAAATCCACTCTAAATCCAACTCTTTTCTTAGACAAGATACAGAATAAGAGAAGAAACGATGGCTTAACCTAAAGTTCAGTTCATCGAAGTGATGAAAAATTGTCTGTCAAAGTGTAGCAATAGTAGTTTTTATGCTGCTAAACTGAGATTGATTTTCTCTATCTACGGTCTGATTTGACAATGCATGAAGGATAGATAGGCTATTACTTAAGTTCACATGTATGTTTATCTATAAGCTAACATTCTCCTGGGGAGCTAACCACATTGGACGTTGTAAGCGGGTCTTCCGAAAACACGTTGCTCAACAACATTATCTGGTTCAACTTATCAAAGGCGAGTGAAGGAAAGTAACTTCATCCATATGTGAGTGAACACCTAGTAAAATTAGGTCATTCAGCATCTCGAGATTCATACTTTACGATAATTAACAAAATTGAATTGAAAAACTCCAAACCTCCACATTTCCGTCAGTTATACTTAGCTGTACATGAACAAAAGCTGCAGCTTTAGGTTTAAAGGCATCTTGTGAAACAACTTTCTCCACCTTGACCTTAGCGTTTCGGTTAGTTTTTTCAAATTCATCTCATTTCACTTTGTATAGTTTAGTTTGACTTTGGAGTTTCCACCTGATCACTCTATATCCACAGACGATATAGGAGACATATTTTAGATACTAGTGACGGATAGCGGTTATTAGTAAAATAAAGTCTTATTTGTTTGTTGTGAAGGCATAGTATCCAAATCCTGCTTTGAGGTGAGTTTCATTTCAACTCAATCCCTCATACTGAAACTGAATTATGTGAGGGTATACAAGTCCTAAATGTAAAATATTGCATTGTACAGGTTCACCGAAAGAAGGTAAGCTTGATCACTTAGAAATATATTAAGTGATGGATGTCACACAGAAGAATTTATTAGTCATTGAAATGACAATATTTTGCTTAGTTAGAAGGTTATTGGTGGATACTTGATTTCAAGAAAATGAAACATAGACAAGAGAGAAGAGATGGCCGGTTTCAATGTGACAAGTCTCTATACAAATGTACAAATTAATATGGCACTAGGGGCAGTCAGAAATGAACTCACAAGTGACCATGAACACTAACAGAACTAAAGTTTCCGTTGAACAAATTCTGCATGGGGTAAAATTATGTTTGACTTCAACTGTTTTCAAGTTTTAAGTTTCTTGACATAAATGAAAACACCATGAAACAGCCAAATTCAGTCGTTAGGAATACGCTTATTTGTACTGCCCGATGACTGAGGGACTTCTGCCAGCAACCTCCAGGTTTCCAGCTGTGTATTTCACCAGCTGACATATGAAATCCAACTGCTGACTAGATCTTGATTGCCGTGTGAATCCGTGATGTGCTGCTATTTATTTTGATGGATAAGAGAATCCTGCACTATCTCTGCTTCGAATAATGTATTAGGAGACCTCATCTTTAGGGTTTGGAATATAGTAAGTAATATTACACGCACTCAGAGGATGTACCACAGATCTTGAATGACTCCGCTTAAACATAACCGTGTGCTTTAAGATACCAAGAATATCGACCATTTTACTCATCTTCAACAATTTATCATAAGCATTGAGGAAATCAAACTTTTATCATTACTATTATTATTTGTCCCTTGGGTTCCTAGTGGAACATAGGGATTCAGTAGCACGTCTCTATTGCACTGTGCTCTCTCCATGTCTGCCCAGAAGCTTATATTTCTTCCCCACATGATCTCCCCCATGTCACCCTCGGACGTCAAACTCATTGTTTCCCATTTCGGTTCCACTCGAGTGCCTGGCCTGGCACGTGATATCCTCCAATGGTCTTCTCAGTGTATGCCCAATCTATCTCCGCTTTCTTCTGGATATTTCTTTGGCGATGTGTTCTTGCTCAGTCTGTTCGTTGCCACAGCAACTCCCATGTTCCATGTTCTTATTATTATGGTTATTCAGTTTTCAGTAACGAGTGTAGGTAGCTGTTGCTGAATGTCTGTAGTTTGTTGAAAATGCTTTTCGTGACGTGCCAAGTTTCTGAACCGTATCGAAGTACTGACTCCACCGACTTGGTGTTGAAAATCCGTATCTTGTTCTTTATGCTGAGTGCAATGCAGCAGATCTACACACTGATAATGAAGGAAGGCCTGTTTTACTGTCTTTCCGATGCTGGCTTTGACGTCCTCATCTATGCCTGTGCCCCTATTTGTTGAAACGACGCTGCCTGCCTATGTAGGTAGGTGAAAGAGACAACTTCTTTCAAATTTCTTCCACTGATGGTGATTGGTGATTGTGCCTATTGTTGATGTTTTTGGTTGGGAATCTTCGATACCCTTGCCTTCTATATGTTCACTTGAACTCTTGTCTTCCTTCGCTGACCTGCCTCTTCCGCCAACTTGTTAGATTTTGCCTGTATATCTTCTAGTTAGTGCAACATTCGACATAAATCATCGGCGAAATCGAAATCTTCTAGACTCTTCATGGGTCAGCGTTTGCCTCTCTTGTGTCCACTTTCTTCAGATTGAGATCAAGACGATCTGATTTTTAGTCCGTCCATCCGGTGAAATCCACGTAGCTTTGTGAATATCCTAATGTTTGTACAAACTGTCTGGTCTCCAATCACCAAGTCGGTAAATATGCAAATGTCTGCAAACAATTCTCCGCTCTCATTCATTTCGCCGAGAGCTTCTAGACACATGATGAGTTCTCTTCCTGTATTGTCCACTCCCACTTCGGTATTCATGTCACCCATTAGAATTTTGATGTCGCCAACTGGAATCTTGTCCAGGACTGATTGCAGTTGTCTGTAGAATTCCTGCTTCTTCTCTTGATCTGAATTATTTGCAGGTGTATAGCGTAGCATTGTATGATAAAGACGTTCCTTCCTCGTGCAACCGACTATTCACATTCATGTAACCTGATAATTTTCATATGCATCATATTGACACCTGAAAATGAATGAAATCACAAGGATATTCGAGATTGCTGTACACCATACTTCTAATTCTTTTATGGCCATTCATAAATAATCCAACCGACTAGACATCTGAGATCATTAATGATGATTGTATTATTGGTAATTTAGATTCAGACGTTCCACTACAAAGTTGAAGACCACATGTGGATACCATTCAGCAAATTATAAATCACAATAATGTAGTTTTACTTGATATCCCTTCAGTAGGAAAGAGTACTTCACCGGCAAAAACAATACAACGTCCTTCCACCTCCTGGTTTTCAACAATATCACTTCACTGCTGTGCAATCTCTAGTATTCATTTGATCATTGGTGACCATGCTACAATGGCAGTTTCAAAGTACATCATCTTCAAATGGAGACTTGATCCTAGAACGTTTGTTAACTGCAGTCCACTTCATCATTTTCCAAGTTAGCTACTTGACCACTGTAATCGTCATTGTTGCTTCTTTCGTCTTTGAGATATTTATCATTCGAACAGTTGTTTAAATAACCTTACATAGTAAAAGAGAATACACCTCATCAATTCAAAGGCGTTTTTGTCCTTCACACTGCCTTAATGATAACCATGCAGTTTCTATTAGTTTCCAAATATAAACCTTTACTATGTCCTATAAAATCACCTCAATCAAGCAATTTTGTCATGTTAATTTTTCGACAGACTGCTATCATCTTGTAAGGAGAGTTATCGCTGAGATAGAGGACTTTCTTCACAGGCATTTCTGATTCAGCATTTCACTTAAAGACTAACTGAACGAAAAAATGTATTCATTTTCAATTACATATTCCTCTTGGGCTTTACACTAATATATCGGTTTGTAATTCAATGAAATGGTGGTCAAGGTTTAACAAACAGTAAGCTTGAAAAATCAAGAGGAGATAATCAACGAGGCAACTAGAATTGGAGATAAAAAGGTTATTCTTAGGTGAGTTGCATAGTAACAGGTGGAGTAAATGGAATGGTTTCTGACGAGTGTTCAGTGTTCATCCGGCGAACAACTTCACAATAGAAGAGGCGCATAAATGACAGTATCCTGCTTCTTGATGTTCTGCTGGTAGGAAGGTTAGATCGAACTCTGAAACGAAGTGTATACAGAAAGCCAATATCAACAGGTCAATACATTCACTTCTATAGTACCGTACACCTCCAATACAAAGTGAACCTGGTGAAATGCTTTGCACACCACACCACGACACAGACACTTTCTCTGATGATGCTATGAAAGAAAGAGTTCATCACCAACAGTGACCTGCTTAGTAGGAATGGCTGACAATCCAACTATATTCTAATCAAACATATCAATGTTACAAAAGTCAAGACAAGAACCCAAACAAACCCTAACAAACAAATCTTCTTGAAGCCGGAATTTAAGAGTGACACCGTCAGTAACATCATCATACAATACGTAATAGAGCCCTACCAACCGCATTCCAAGACACTAACTTATATCCTATCTTCCACAAACACGTGATTCTAGGTGCAAGAAATATAGACAGAGTATCTGATTCTGTCACCCCCATACACATTTATCAGTTCAACTGCTCCAAATGACGTAGCTGTATTGGGCGTACGACGAAGCAGGTTCATCGTCGAATTTCTGAGCACCACTCATCACAGTTGAACAAGGTGTAGATTAGAACAATAAGTGGCTCCATTCTTGCACACTTAGTTGACACTGGATACCAAGTGGATAATTGAAATGCATTGAAAATAATTTATCGTATGCTAGTCAACCTACCCTATGGACTATGCATTCGCTTACTTCACACATCAGTGGTGATTTCAACCCACCTTGACAAGCCGAAGCTTTGTGTTGGAAAGAAGTTTGTTGAACCAGTTGCATTACTGTGGCCATCAATATGATGCAACTCCTAGTATTGCTGTACACATCTCTTCCCTCTCATGTGCTAGCTACCATTATTCATTTATTTTGTGGTTCTTACGTGATTATTTATTGTTTATGAGTGACCAGTCGAGAGTAAAAGCACTCCATTTACTCTGCCAGTTACGATGCATTTTGCCTATCAATAGCTTTTTTCATATCGTCATGCAGTGAATTCTGTTGAGCAGTACACATGCAAAGGCACTTATAGAAGTGATTAACAGTCAGTAAGTAATTAATGAAGAGATGATACAGTGGAAAGAAGAGAGAAGACTATATACTTACGCATGCAAAACATTATATACGGTTCCGAAGGTAAAGAATGGTTAAATAAGTCTCGTTTTGAGCAAATAAGTTAGGTTGAAAATGTTTGATAGTGAGAGCTTCAGCAAACCATAATAGACATGGTGCTATTTTGTTGTTGATTATCCTGACGGATTAAGAAATATCTACTTCATGTCATGTTTCCATCAGGTGCCGGGTGATTGCGCTCTGAAAGACCTTGTTACCATTCAGATACAGATTTCCTGAAATGTGCTCATACAACTGAGTAGAAGTGCCCTTCTTTCGGTTCATCCTATGTAATTGTTTCCACAAGTACAAGTAAATTGATATACACAGTTGGATTTGATGTGAAATGGGTATATGTTTTCTTTTGACTGTTATTAAGCAGGTGTATATATACATTATTACAATTACCATTTTCAGTTCTGTGCAGTTTCTGCTTTAAGCATTTCCATCTTAATTCCTCAATCTTATGATCTTCATGACTTACTTTAAGATGTCTATAGTTGTTGGTTATCAGCACCCAACCACCACTTGATTCGTATTTTCGATGAATTGTAAACTTCTTGATGTATTAGTGTAGTCCCAAAGACGAAGACCAAATTGAAAAGGAATGTTATTCTTCAGTCAATCAGTCTTTTTCTATATATCCAAATGGGAATTTAGCAGAAAACTATTCCACAATGTATCCCACCAGCTGCCTTCAACTATCTCATAACTATTAATATGCATGACAATAGAGAGTTTCACGGTTTGGTGATGATATTGCAAACTGATCGATAGAATTTGGTCAGCACTCAGGATTAGTCAACATGCATTTGGCTAATATTAACTGACCACTTCTCACAAATTCATAAACTCATAAAAATGACTCACCGATCATATCAGCTAAACTTGTAAACCATCAAAACTGATTTAACCAAGATCATATGAAATTGAAAATGATAGATTGTGTCCTGTGATTAATGAAAACGGATGACTTACTCAGAGTTGATATGAACAAGATCACGAGTCCAGTGAACATTGGAATACTATAACCAATTCTATAAGAAGAAGAGATAAAATATGAAGTTGTAAGTTCAACTTCTATCAACTCGTTTCAACTCAAAAGCGATTTGTGCTCAACATTAGCTACAATGAAAGCTGAAACTTAAATATTCAGAAGGTTTCCTCCATAGAAATCAACTCATCCTTCTGATATTATCATCAGAACAGCTGAGAAGTTAGTAATACCTATAGAAATATCAAACCGTTGACCCTTCTAAGTCACATTAAGCAATGCAAAGAGTTGAAGTAGCTGATGTGACAGAACTAAATAGTTTGATCTTCCCAACTTAGTGCCCTGTACAAAAAAATTATGCTTCCGGTTTCCTCAGTCCATCAATCTGTTATACTGCTTGCGTATATTGCTTTACAGCAAACACTAAGTGGATATTCTATGCTGTAAAACAAGATGCCCCTAGTTCCATATTACATTGTTTATTTGATATAGCACATAGTGATACAGTGTGACTTACTGGATGACATTTCGAGCAGAATCTATTGCTTGTATGATGATATCAAGGTTATTATATGACTTTGAAGCTTTCTTTATACACTCTAACCATTCTTCATTCTTTTATTCTAATGATACCAAAAAATTTCAGATATCTGCATTATTTGGTGATGAATGATTCCTGTCTGCTACGTGTTAGATGTTGTTTCGTGTGACTTTAGAGACCACCCTAACAACGATCGAAATAACCAACTAGGTTTTTCCATTTCGGGTGGAACGGCATATTTTCATAAAATAGAGGAGTTTGATTAGTTATTTATCGAGTTGTTTGTAGAGTGGCCTTTAAAATCACTTTACACAATTACTCTCTTTTATTTGATGGGAAAGCAATTTTCGTGGTGAAATATAAAAGGCTGATTAGTCATTTTAACTGTTGCTAAGGTGGTCTTTAAAGTCATCATCGGTGCGTGCACAGTGATAGTGGGGTTTTTCTCAAAACTACTGATCTAAGTGTGGTCTAGCATTGTAAGTTTCGGTAAATTTTTGTGTTCTACTATTCCTAATTATGATGGCGATATGTTGATGACACATTTGCTCTGATGAAATCAGGGCACACAGAGTTATTTCTCACACAATAACTCGATAACATATGTAGCCCAATTCATTGATGAAATGGAAAATGTAGGAGAATCTTAAGAACTATTCTGCAAAATCTATTAAAAGGCTTATAAGGACTGACAAGAGAAGGAGTGATAATGCTTATGGTAGTTGTAGCATGTTTCACAGGGAATTCAAATCCTTTGTGATGTTGTCGTATGAGGAAGGCATATAGGAAATCCTACTTAGAATTCCTAACAATGCTGGGTGGTATTATGGTGGCGTTAAAGCCTACAAACTGGCTCAGAGCGAAACTTTGTAAGCTAAAAGATCTATCAGGTACCATGTGATGATTATGAGGTCAGGTATGCAAATGAAAGCAGCCGATATGGGCCATTCATCCCATTTCCTATTACTCCAACCTTTCTGAAGGAGTTAGTATTGCTGTGTACCGACAAAGTCCACTTCACATTTGAAGGTGAACGCTTTCGACAAGTTGACGGTGTAGCTGTGGGTAGTCCTTTAGGACCACTACTGGCTGATATTTATATGTCATATATTGAAAATCTGGCTGGTGATCTCATCGCTAAAGTTCCTCTTTACAAGAGATATGTTGATGACATCATGGTGATTTGTGAGGCGCATGAGGATATGGTTTGTCTACTAAATAGACTTAACGCCGTAAAAACACACATCAGCCTGACATGTGAGAAAGAGAATAGTAATCAACTGCCATTCCTAGATATACTTCTCAGTCGACGGGAAGATGGTTCAATAAGACGGTCAGTTTACAGAAAGCCTACATGGACAGGACAATACCTAAATTTCCACAGTTTTTGTCCAATCGAATACAAGCGAGGTTTAGTAAAATGCCTGTTTACTAGGATCTATCGTATCAGTACACTAGATGCGATGGATGAAAACATCAAATTCCTGAGCAAAGCATTTATGGGAAATGGATTTCCGATGAAGTTTATGAACCGTTGTAGAGGTCAAGTAGCACCAAAGTCAACTCTATACACGGTCCTTAAAAAAATGTCCATATCACTCTAGCATACAGAGGGGAACTAATTAGTATCATTTTGAGACGTAGGCTGACATTAGCCATTAAGAAAACGTAATACGCAGCGAATCTTTCTATCGTGGAGAAAACAAAACATGCTTCACCAAAAACCTAAACACTGCATCAGTGATTACGTCACATCCTATTATGTTTACCAATTTACATGTGTGTGTGGTCACACATACATAGGGAGAAGTAATCGAGTTATGCAGTTGAAGGTGGGAGAACATGTGCCTAAATGGCTTCAAAAACAAATGGAGTGTGAAACAGTGATAAACGCTGGTGGGAGACGACCCTCTTCATCTATAGCTAAACATATCATAGAAACAGGTCACAAAGTTAGTGTTCAAACAGCTTTCAAAGTCTTATACAGAAACAGTCAGGGACGTATTCTGAGATTTGCGGAAGCCATAGCCATACACAAATTTAAACCACCTTTATGTGTACAAAAACAGTTTGTTATTACACTACACCTGCCTTGGTAAACTTTGTTTTCTTACCAAGATTAGGACCAACTATGTCAGTTCCCATTCGTCCTCATCTTTCTTAATTTTAATCCCCTATTGTGTTAATTGTTGTATTCATTTCCCCTCCCCCCCCCCAGTCCTCAGTTTAATATATATTGACTTGACAAGTAAATGTGTGATGAGATTGTTGGAAATGTATTGCTCAACTACATGATATTGCTCAGATAAACTTCGCCTTCTAATTACGCTATCGAAATTCATAAAAACGACTAACTGTTTCAAATCATTCAGAATAGCAGAACACAAAACTCTAGTGGGACATATAGTATTAGGCCCTATTAAGATAAGCAATTTAGAGAAAAACACGGATGTTGTTCTACATTCGCTGAATAGGGCGACAATTCTAGAATCCAATATAGCTAGGTGGAGGGAGAGATTGATCACGTAATCTTTGTTCATTGAAGCAACAAACCTAATGCAAGAAACAGGAATGACTCATGACCACATTTGCAGACATATGGAACAAAAGAATGAACAACTGCTGGACTATGTTAGTGAAGTCTGAAAGTCACATGATAACTTTGATATGAATATGAGCAATAAATTCTGTTCGGAACGTCATGCAGTAAATTATATTTTACTACTATGCGCTTTATCGAATAAACTATTTGATACGGAATTATTACAATTGTTATTTGTTCCTTGGGTATCTAGTAGAATATAGGAATTCAGTAGCACGTCTCCATTCCACTCTGTTCTCTGCAATCTTTTCAACCTGGCTCCATGACTGCCCCAAAGCCTTCATTTCTTCCTCACATGATCTCCTCCATATTACACTCGCCTCGGACTCCCAACTCATCGTCTCCCATCTGAGTTCCATTCGAGTGCCTGGCTTGACGCGTGATATCTCTGAATGGCCTTTTCAGTGCATACCCAATCCATCTCCACTTCCTTCCAGTGCATATTTGTGGGACGATGCGTTCCTGCATCTTTGGTTCGTTACCACAGTTCCTCCTTAATTATTCTTCCTGACCATCTGAGCTTCAGTATCGAGTGAGCGTAGGCAGTTGTTGATGAGCATTTGTAGTTTGCTGAAAACGCTTTTCGTAACGCCTCAAGTCTCTCAAACATCACACAGAAGCACTGACTGACTTGACTGAATTGGTGTTGAAAATCCGGATGTTGTTCACGCTTTATGCTGATTGCAGCGCAGTAAATCTGCACACTGGTTTCAGGTTAATGAAGGAAGGCCTGTCTTGCTGCCTTTTCGATCCTGGCTGTGTTGATGTCCTCTTCCTCGTGTGTGCCTGTGCCATCTGTAGTTGAAACAGTGCTGCCTAGATAGTTGAAGGAGGCTACTTCCTTTAGGTTCCTCCTGTTGTTGGTGGTTGGAGCTTGTAGTTGTTGATGGTGGCGTTGGTTGGATACCTTCATCACCTCTGTCTTCTCTACGTTCACTTGAAGAGAGTCCCGTCTTCGCTGCCCTGCCTCTTTTGTTAACTTGTTAGTTTTCGCCTGTAAATCGAGTTTGTGAGACATTAGACATAAGTCATCATCGGCGGAATCCAAATCTTCTAGGACCTTTTCCTGGTCCAGCATATCCCTCTCTCCTCGCTCTTCACTGTTTGTTGCATGATCCGGTCCAGTCAACCACAATCAGGAAGATCATGGGTGATAGTAGACAGCCTTGTTTCACTCCTATCTTCACTACAAAAGCATCACTAAGCTTCTCAATGTGATTTACTTGGCGTTTGGCATCTTCAAACAGTTGTTGAATGAGATTGATAAAGTTTTGTGGAATTTCGTAGTGTTGAAGCAGTTGCCAAATGACTTCTCGATCGACGCTGTCGAAGGCCTTTTCAAAATCGATGAATTTGAAGTGTAGAGTTGACTGTCATTCTATGCTCTGTTCTATGATGATGCTCGGAGTAGCGCTGCAATTCGGTCCGCACATGATTTGTACTTCCTGAATCCAGCCAGCCTGTTGGGGTAGTAGTTTTGAATCCAGTGCATCCTTTAGCCTCTCCAGGATGATGCGGCTTAATATTTTGCTTAAGGTGGACAAAAGCGTAATTCTGCGCCAGTTCTTGCAAAGGTTTAGATAGCCCTGCTTCGGGAGTTTGACAAGGTAACCATTCTTCCAATCAGTTGGCAGGTACCTTCCTTTCCTTCTATACCTTTTGCAATAGTGGTGTGAGCTTGTCTGCTGTTGTCTCTGCGTCTGTTCTCAGTGCTTCTGGCGGGATCCCATCTGGCCCTCTTGCTTTCGTGCATTTCAGTAGCTTTATGGCGTTCAGGACTTCCATTTTTGTGGGAGAATTAGTGTTCAGTTGTAGTTCTGTGACTGGTCTGCAGGTGGTATTTCTGGAAGAAGTGCAAGTGGTGGTCGATTCAAGAGCCTTTTGAAGTGGTCAGATCATCGTTTCTTTTGTTTCCCTTCTTCGGTAATTATATTTCCTTCATCATGTTTTACTGGTTCCATGTGTGTTGATCTCTTCCCAGATAGTAGTCTGGTTATCTGATACAATGTTGTCAGGTCTTTCCTACCAGCCTGCAGCCTGTTCTGCTTCATTTGCCAGTGTCTTTTGTCTTTGCGCTCACTCCTCTTCACTTTTTTGTCCTCTGTAGTGTTTTACATCTCGTGTTCAGTTCTTCTTCTCGTTTTTCTGCTTTGCATTGGTTTATCTTCTGCTTCACCATCTTTCTGTTTTCTATCAGCTTCCATGTGTCCGTCGAGATATGGAATTATACCCTACAATAATGTCCAAGGTTTATCATTAAGTGTTCCTAGGCTGAATATTAACGGGACTCTTTCCGAATGTGGGATAAAATGGATAGTGAGACGAAACTTTCTGTCTGCAATAATATTGTTGTGATTAATTTGGATATAGATTATCTTTGATCAGTTTCGTTTTGCATATGATCAACAAAATTCTGTCAAGACAATGGATATTAACAGTTGATTACTGTTCGCCTAATTATTCCTTACATTCATCAAAAAACATAACAGGGAATGGTAACTTGACTCAACTGAATGCGTAAAGTTTCTGTAGAGCTATTTCGATGGATATTGCACTAATGTGAAGTAATTTTCCTTAGGCGCATGTTTGATTTGTGAATTTTGACCATACTGTTCGAAAGTAGCCGAACAGGTTAACTTCATTTCATTCTTTATCAGTTGTATTGCTGTTCTTGTTCTGATATATCTTCAAGCATATTAGCACTAAGTGGTGGCTTGGGTATTCATCTATTTGAAGGTAGTATTCATCGTGAACTAACATTACTTATTGTCTTTATTCCTCAGCATATCACGAGTTGTTTACTCTGTACTTGTCATTTTAAGGTAAGTTTTTATTCAGCTTGTCAGTAGCACCGTTCTTTTTCGTTTGCCCTGTTTGGTCTCATAATTTACGCATGGTGTTATCAGCGATGAATTTATGATAACGAATAGTGATGTTTCAGAAAAATTTTCTATTTTGTTATAGAGGCCCTTTTAAAGCTCTTCATTTTTCGTCAGGTTGATTGTACATCCATTTGACTGTCTTTCTTTGGCTGGTGATAATTTCTAAGCTTTGGTTAGTTTTGTGTGTCATCTGTTTGTCTGTTCATTCAAAATTATCTGTATTGTCAAATGTAGTAGTGTTAATATTTCTTATAGCTCCCTTTTACCTATTTATTACCTGGTAATATTTCAGAATTTGACATTAAGTATCAGGGATAATCGACTACCTTCCGTCTGGTTGGGTAGTTGATTAATAACCTATACTTGATACCGGGTAGCGAAACACGCACCAGACATTTTCTGAAATATGAGTCCGTATGATCAATTGTGAATGCAAACATGGTGGAAGGTAGGAAACGTTCAGAAGCTTGAAACGCAGACGAATAAGTGATCCATAAGATGTTTTGATGCTGATGCATTTTATAAGTTTATTAGTGACGGCATAAATAACGAAAAAGATCATAGCTTACGTCAGTAAGATATGTGTGAAAACAGTGAGGAGAGGAAAGAGAGATCAACTAATTAAGAAGTCATCAACGTAAGGTAGTGGGTCAACTTGACCAGAATTTCATATAGCTAACTTCTTCCAGAAGTTTGTAGAGTTTACATTGTTCAGACCGATGATGGAAGCTTTACGAATAATCCAATTAGGTCAGAGCACACAGAACAACAAAAGTCTTTCACTCTGAGATACTAAAATTACCCACTATCTGAACCCCTTTTTCTTCTTATTACAAGTTCTATTGAGAAGCCGTGACGTGTAAGGTCAACCATTTCGGAAGAGAAGTGGATGCCAATTGAAGACCTTGGGTAATAGTCGCGCTATATAATGAACTGACAGAAGTTGGAAACTATGAACCACTGAAAAGCGACCCACTGATTGAAAGATTAAAGCGTTCGCCGTGAAACCTGAAGGTTCTGAGTTCGATCCGTAGCCAAGTCATGCATGCATACTGATGAAGGTCTCTATACTAGGACGAAACAGCTTTTCAGTGCTCCCAGATTTTCAGTGGTTTTCCAACTGATGTCAGTTCATGACGAATACTATCTCTGAAATACATGAGATAACTAATCTGTATAAATGAAGTGACATTACCTGTTTGTAATGGGACCAATGAATGGATTGCATATCAGCTGAATAAGTGGTTTCATTGCAAACATAACGCCAATCATAATATGATCATTCTCACTGTTTACTCCATCATTCGATTGATGAGGATTGTGTTTTGCACAGTTCTGTGAAGAATTAGTACAGTTATTTGATGACACTGCACTCGCTTCATCTTCTAGCAATTTAGGTATGATTGGGACTATATGAGTAAGACAACAACAAAGAAAACCAAAAACTATCATAGGAATATACCATATACGAAAAGAGGACATTATCCTAGAATTCACTGATCCTACTAAACGTTATGCACAAATCCATCCTCACCATGTGGAAACGCAAAATGAATAATCATAAATTAGGCCAATCATACATAATCTTCTATTCTTTACGCAAAAAACATGTGTGGCGTTCCTGAATGGCAAAAAGTTATAAATCTCAGATAAGTCTCACAATTAGGGCTACCAGAAAACTTTGACAGGTTAGAAGAAAATATAAAAGACGAAGAATATTGTTGTCAATAAGATCCTCTTCAGGATTTATTCCAATAAAAATAGAATGGTATAAATACACATTTAACTAAACCAATGATATAGATTTGTCAGTCAATGTCTGAGATAAATGTTTTAAAATAACGATACTGATAATAATACAAATGATAAAATTGATAACGCCAACTAAATCACTTGCAATATCGACGATAATGATGATGCTAAGAACGAAGAGAACAGCATGAAAATGTGGGTCAAAAGCTGACTTGGGAAAATAAAAGTTACGTAATACTACAGGCGCCACAAACACAGACGAGGACGTCAAAGCTAGCATGAAAAAGACAGTAAAACAGGCCTTCAGGCATTTATCTGAAATCAGTGTGGAGATCTACTACACTCAATTCAACATGTAACACAAGATTCGCATTTCCAACACTAAATCAGTCAAATCAGTGATTCGATATGATGGTTGAGAGATCTGGCAAGTTACAGAAACCATTTCCAACAAACGACAGACATTCATCAACAACTGCTCACGCTCACTCGTTACTGAAGTTCAGATGGTCAGATTAAGAAGAATAAGCAAGGAGGTACTCTGGCCGGCTGGCAACGAACCAACGAAGCAAGAACCCATCGCTCAACAAATATGCAGAAGAAGAACGTGGAGATGGATTTGATTGGGCATACACTGAGAGGGTCAACTGGGGACAACAAGTGCCAGCCCAGGTCCTCGAGTGCAACGGAAATGGGAAATGACGAGTTGGGTGTTCCAGCTGAGGGTGACATGGAGGAGATGGTGTGAGGAAGAAATGAAAGCTGTTGTGCAGTGATGGAGCCAAGTTCAAAAGACTGCAGAGAACAGAGTGAAATGGTGACGTGAGAGGGAAGCCATATGTTCCACTAGGAACCCAAGGGGTGAATAATAATAAGAATAATATGACTGCACTTTCTAAATTATTCACTCGCCTTAGTGGTAAGCTCTTTGAAGAGTGTCTAAAATATCTGAGAATAGAACTGTGTTCTGTTTTCTCTATGTAAACACTTGGGCAGCATGAAAATGTGTATCCAAAGCTGACTTGGGAAAATAAAAGTAACGTAATACTGAAAGACGAGGTAAGTGGATAAACAAAGTCTAAACAAATATGGTAAGTATATGAAATGGGTGAAGAATGGGAAAGGGGTTGTTAAAGGTTTCAGCGATGAAGTTGTTAATTAAGTCTTCCTTGACCAAGGGAGAGATAAGGGATGTACAAACTTCTTCTGGATACAAAGACCGGGATTAGGAGCTCGAATTCCCACAACTTCTGCTATACATAAAAGATGAGTTCGAATATGTTTCAAAAGACGGTGTTAGACACGGTGAATAATCGTGAGGGCATGTTCTTATCTACCAAGTGACCACTATCAAGTAAATGAGATAGAACCGAACTTCTGATGGATTTTATCTATCCCTATTCTAACCATGAAAGTAGATGCTCAGCAACACGCCTGTTAAGATGTTTAGTAGTACGCCATAAATAGCTTTCTCCACAGGAGCTACTAAACTTGTTGATACACACAGAAATGGCAAAACTAGGTACCTTATCTTTTGTCTGAGCAACAACAAATGATAGACAGAGTTGTGTAGCGTAAGAAGTTATATTGATGGCTCTTCAGAGTCTCTGGTATAAAACTTCTCCGGCAACATCTTCAATGAATCTCAACTTCATGAACAACGGTTTCTTTTATATGGCAATAATTTCAGGTTTGTTCTCCCTTCTTTTGTCCATGTGTCTTTTCATGAAACTGCTGGGGTAGCCCATTCCGACCAGTGAACTACGAATACATTCTAACTCCCTCTGTACTAGATCATCCGAACATATTTTTCGCGCTTTGTTAGTGAGGCATTTAATCGGGTTTCCTTTGTACTGAATAGGTACGCATGTCAGAAAATATGTGAACTAACTTACAGACTCAGTCTTTCAGTAAAGACAGCCGCTGAATCAACCATCTGTTCTGTTTACCAGAACATTAAATTCTTTGTATCCAGAAGAAGTTTGTACATCCCTTATCTCTCCCTTGGTCAAGGAAGACTTAATTAACAACTTCATCGCTGAAACCTTTAACAACCCCTTTCCCATTCTTCACCCATTTCATATACTTACCATATTTGTTTAGACTTTGTTTATCCACTTACCTCGTCTTTCAGTATTACGTTACTTTTATTTTCCCAAGTCAGCTTTGGATACACATTTTCATGCTGCCCAAGTGTTTACATAGAGAAAACAGAACACAGTTCTATTCTCAGATATTTTAGACACTCTTCAAAGAGCTTACCACTAAGGCGAGTGAATAATTTAGAAAGTGCAGTCATATTATTCTTATTATTATTCATCCCTTGGGTTCCTAGTGGAACATATGGCTTCCCTCTCACGTCACCATTTCACTCTGTTCTCTGCAGTCTTTTGAACTTGGCTCCATCACTGCACAACAGCTTTCATTTCTTCCTCACACCATCTCCTCCATGTCACCCTCAGCTGGAACACCCAACTCGTCATTTCCCATTTCCGTTGCACTCGAGGACCTGGGCTGGCACTTGTTGTCCCCAGTTGACCCTCTCAGTGTATGCCCAATCAAATCCATCTCCACGTTCTTCTTCTGCATATTTGTTGAGCGATGGGTTCTTGCTTCGTTGGTTCGTTGCCAGCCGGCCAGAGTACCTCCTTGCTTATTCTTCTTAATCTGACCATCTGAACTTCAGTAACGAGTGAGCGTGAGCAGTTGTTGATGAATGTCTGTCGTTTGTTGGAAATGGTTTCTGTAACTTGCCAGGTCTCTCAACCATCATATCGAATCACTGACTTGACTGATTTAGTGTTGAAAATGCGAATCTTGTGCCACATGTTGAATTGAGTGTAGTAGATCTGCACACTGATTTCAGATAAATGCCTGATGGCCTGTTTTACTGTCTTTTTCATGCTAGTTTTGACCTCCTCATCTGTGTCTGTACTACCTGTATTTGAAACGATGCTGCCTCCTAGGTTGGTAGGTAGGTGGAAGAGACAACTCTTAAATTTCTTGATTTGGTGGTGCTTGTTGTTGTTGGTTGGGTATTTTTATCATCTTTATCTTCTCCACATTCACCCGAAGGAAGTGGCGTCTTCGCTGCCTTGCCTCTTCTGCCCACTTGTAGTTTTTCGCCTATAGATATTCGAGCTTGTGCGACATAAGACATCAGACATAAATGAGCATGAGTAAAATCGAAATCCTCTAGGGTCTTTTCGTCGATCAATTAGCGTATCCCCATCTTTTCGCTTTTCACAGTTTGTTGCATGATCCAGTGCATCACAGCCAGGAAAGTCATCGGTGCAGTTACTGAGCACTTTTTGCATACTGAACCTCAAGCCTGTATCTTGGTGTCTTTCAAAATAAGCAGTTAAGAAAATAACTGAAATCTTCATATGTTCGCTAAAACCTTTGCAACTGAACACCTGGAACCTGAGTTACTCTCTAAGTACTCTGGTAAACTCTGTTCCTAGGAATTCATCTATTTGATTACTTTCGTATACCTTTATTCAATTTTCAGTCCACATTGAAGATTAATCACGACCTATTGGTTTTAAAAAATTATGCTTTATTAGGCAATGTTTGTTGATTACTGGACACCGATCCACTCAACTCCTTATTTAACCTCTTTGTGGTAAGTCCCACAGTAGTCGTTTTGCTATCGTTATTTAAATCTTACGAGAACTTGAATTGGTGTTTCTTGTGAATGAGAGTGTTAAATTGACATCCGAAGTTTTCTAAACCGCTGATGCGCATTCGTCATATTAATTAAAACAACAACTATCGTCTGACCACTGAAGAGTAACAAACTTCCTTTTGTCTAGTCCTGAGTGGTGGCCAGATTCGACCGATAATTTTACAGTGTGTTTATCAAACCAAGAGGCTGACCATTACGGTGTACTATGAGTGATGTTAGGTGGTTGGAAGTGACTGGTAGGAAGTCCTGTTCGACCCTGGCTTCATGTTTATTGTCATTCTTGAGCAAGGTGTACGCGTTGATGTCCCCTATGCGAATCAAAGTCGTACGATGTATCTGACTGCAGAATTGGTTAAAGCGAGTTGAAATCTCTTTGGAGACATTGATCATCTCGAGATTGCAGGTATTTCTTGGTGGTGAGCACCGATGAGTGCTAATCCAGTCGCCTGAAATCATCTAATGTCAAAACAACAATGCTATGTATACAGTCTTATGCATTCTTGATTTCGTTAGATATTCGTCAAGGTAAAATACATGTAGATACTCCACCGTCTTGTGGTAAATTCATGGGAAGTTTACCGTTAGCCAAAAGTTATTTATGGACTGTTTGAGCGAAGAAAATAAGTTTAATTGAACTTTAAAAACCTTAATGTAAATATCGTCTTAAAAGTTTTTGGAAGAAAAAGTTATTTGCTTAGAATCGAGAGTCAGGAAGTATCACTGACTCCCACTAGCTGACACTAAATTAAATTAAACCGCAATGTCACATTAGTCTCCTGAGTTACCATATTGTAAGATTCGGTTGATTTACTTGCAGTATTGTTGAGTACTAAGGGCAAGATGGTTGCCATGTCTACCCACTGTGACGAACTCATTAAAATAGGTCTGTTGTTGTTTTTACACGTCAAAGCGAATGTATTGTTTGATAATTAATGCAGATTTGACTAACTTATGGCGAAACTTATGGCCAGAAAGAATAAGCAACAAGGAACTCTGGCTGGCAACAAACCAACCAAGGACCTATTACCCAACAAACTTGCAGAAGAAATTGGAGATGGATTGGGCATACACTGAGTAGGTCGATTGGGGACAGCACGTGCCAGATCAGGCCCTTGAGTGAAATCCAAATGGGGAAATGATGAGTTGGACGTCCGAGGAGAGGGTGACATGGAGGAGATCATGTGAAGAAGAAATGAAAGCTTGTTGGCAGTGGTGTAGTCAGGTTCAAAAGACTGCAGGAGACAGAGTGAAGTGGAGGCGTGCTACTGAAGCCGTATGTTCCACTAGGAACCCAAGGGAAGAAAATAATAATGGTGAACCTAGTTATGCAATAGAACTGAATTCTTTTCTTAGGGGAAGGGTGGTTAACTCTCAATTTCTACATGTTAGTGAAAGCTTTGTGAGTTAGGAAGGTAGAGTCACTGATTATCGCATTGATAAAATTCTATCTGGAGTTTTGTGAAGATTTAATTATTGATTTTTGGTGGTAAAGCTCACTTTTTGTTTTTTTTAGACATTTATAAGTAAAGCATTTACCTCAAACAAATTTATATATATATATATATAACACAACCGTGGAATGAATTTTTCTTAGAAGGAACTTACTGATAGTTGTCAATAGAACATTATCCAGAAGAATTGCAAGGAAAACAATTATCATAATCATTTTACGACTAGCGAAACAACTTGATATAGATGAGAAACAAGTTTTCTTCTTCAACTCTTCTTCTGAAGGTGTTATTTTCGTTTCTTCAACATCTTTCTCCTTATTCATATTTGAAAATTGATGTTATACTTTGTTACTCTATAATTTTAAATAACATAAAGCCAAATTAGGTTAAACTTGGCGTTAAATATCACAGAACACTGGCACGTGCTTGAAAACTAATTTATTGTTTACTTTCTGTGTGTTTTCAACTTCTGGGTGACCTTCAGCCGAAATTAGAAAGATCATACATAAAATTTGGTTGAAAAATTGGAATAATGCAACGGTGTATAGACATTCGTAGAATAAAATGAGCTGGTTTTGTTTCACGTCCTTCCATCAGCTGCAAACCGTCCACTATTGACACGAAATATTAGTAGTAACTATGACAATATAACTTCAGTATATCGAAATAGATGAAGATTCAAAATCCAGGATTATCAATAAGGTAGTAGTAAATAAGTCTAGATAACACAGGATTAATAATCACAAATGTTAGTGAACCTCAACGGTAATTTATATCTAGAGAAATGATGACGGAAACACCCAACTGTTCAGGAGAATTGAATTTGGGGGTTAGTGAAGATTTAGTGATTTTTCAAGTTGATATTCATCACGAACTGACATCTGTCCCAGGAACGTTGGGGACCTGGGGCTAGTACGGGACTCCTCACAATGCGCACCCATGATCCCACCCCCCCCCCGCCATGGATCAAACACACGACCTTTAGGTTCTGCGATAAGCATGTTGCCATTGAACTAGCTACTGGGTTGGAATCTAATGGTGCATGTTTGCAAATTCTGTGAGTTCACAACATAACGCGATCATCACCGAATGTCACTGTTGAGTATTTGTCTTCATGACCACCAGGGTTTTCTCCATTGGTCACGACTTCTGATTGGAACTTTAAGGATCACTTCTCGGAGCTAGTTACCAATGACCACCAGACCATAAGAAACCTATTTTCCTTCATCCAGCTTTCAAGGGTGATGAAACATCTAAAAGAATAGACAAAAGGATTAAAGCTGCACTGAGAAGTAGCTTGTATGCTACGAGACTGATCTCAGCTTACAATTTAGTATGCTCAATTACACAGTTGAAAATGAACCAATACTCAGCACGCGTTACCAATTCAATTGCACTTGTGGAAGCAAGGATATAGGAGAAGCATAAAGAATGGCGTCTACTTGATTTTATGAGCATATTCTAAGGGATGTGAAAAGCAGTCTAAAAGATAGGAAAGTCTTTACCAAGGTAATCGCCAGGCACCTGATGGAAACCAAATCGATGTTTCTCAATCTGTCAAGATAAACAACACACAAAGAACGCCACTTTGATTGTGGTTTGCGGAACTTTTAATCATCAAACATTTTCAATCTGATCATTGTAGTCAGGTGGAGACTGCAATTAACACTTCTATGCCTTGGTAACTAAATCATTTTTTCCATTTGTATGTATGTGGTTTTCTGTTTTTAGATTGTATCATCTCATAGTTAGTTACTTACGGATTGTAAGTCAGTTAGCTTAAAGTTTTCCATTTTTTTAGGAATCCCTTTTTTGCACTAAGAAATGTTTGTTGTCTCTGTTCTTTTCCTCTGCTCCAGAATTTTCTACCTAATCAAATATTAACTGCCATTGATTTTGACTGACATTTGTGATTATTTGGTTGTATTGTGTTTCCTGAGCCGAATTGTTTAATCGTGAAGCTTTCATTGTCTTTCTAGACCACAACTACAAAGTCATCGACAGGAATCAATAAAAGCATCATCTTATCATACATAAAGAATATAACAAAAGTCAAGACCAGATTGCTGAGACCACTTTGAATTGGTGTGGCTCATAAACTAACAAATCCCCACTATTAAACAGACCAAAAGAGGCAACAATCAAAGAAGACAAATCGAATATCATTTACAAAATCAACTCTAGTAACTGTATTCAACACATTAGACAAAGCGGTTCCCCTGTTTGCCTTCGTCTATATGAACACCAATTAGCTATTAAATGTCACGACATTTCATCAATCATTTCAATGCATGTGGATAACAACTAGGGACATGAATTCAATTTAGACAATGTAGAAATTTTGGACAAAGGAAACACAAGGAATATCATCAGAGAATTCTTAGAAGCTCTGGCATTCAGGTCAGTCAGTCAGCAATCAACAGATGTATAGACACAGACCCAATCTATCAAACGATTAGAAAAATTATAAACGACATGAAGGTCAGAAGGCAAGCAGAGGAACAGCCAATAGGAAAGTCTACGCGGTCAGTCAATGACACAATAATCAAAGGAAACAACAAGTCACACACAAAACAGTTGGTCAGGGCAACCTAGTGAATGAATCATGGAGAGATACTGAAATCTCACAGTGAAGTTATTGCTGATAGTGTCGTCAAGCAAGACGATGAAAGCTTCACGATTAGACAACACAGCTTAGAGGACACATTACAACTAAGACCATCCACCCGAGCTAAAAATATTCTCCACCATTTGTGATTATTAATCTTGCGACTCCTCTACTCATCTACTCACTACCTCATTTTTAATTCTGGATTTCGAATCTCCATTTATTTTTACATATAAAAAATTATGTTATGTCATTAGTATGAGTATTTCATGTCATTCGTAGACTGTTTGCAGTTGATGAAAGGTTGTGTAGTAAAAGCAGTTCATATTGATCTTGGGGACTGGTGGAGAAATCCAAGACATGCATTTCGTCCTAATTGGGATTCTCCGGCTGGATGTACCTGCACTCTAGTTAGTGGTGTTGCTTTCACTGGGGCTTGAACTCAATATCCATTGCTGCAAACGTCAGAGCGATACGTGCTATGCAACTGGGGCACAATGGTTGCCACTTGTAATGCGGTATCATTATTTGTTATGATACTTGTAATTTCCCGTTGCTTTACGCACAGGGGTGTGAGTACATCCGCCTGCAGACTTCCAAGTCGGACGGAACGTCCTCTCTGGATTCCTCTGCAGGTCACTAAGACCAATATAACATTATGAATGTCCAGATGTATCGAAGTATCCGCTTAGGAATCAATCTGCCAACAGAGGTCAAGTAGTTCAGCCCTGCATAGGAACAGGGAATTACAAGTATCATAGCAACAAAATGAACTCATTTATCCTGTATATGTCTTTGTTCTTGCATTATTTAGACAAAAATGCACGTTTAATTATATACGATCATTTTCCAGTATTTTATTATTTGTCCCTTAGGTTCCTAATGGAACATACGGCTTCCCTCTCACGCCACCATTTCACTCTGTTCTCTGCAGTCTTTTGAACTTGACTCCATCACTGCACAACAGCTTTCATTTCTTCCTCACACCATCTCCTCCATGTCACCCTCAGCTGGAACACCCAACTCGTCATTTCCCATTTCCGTTGCACTCGAGGACCTGGGCTGGCACTTGTTGTCCCCAGTTGACCCTCTCAGTGTATGCCCAATCAAATCCATCTCCACGTTCTTCTTCTGCATATTTGTTGAGCGATGGGTTCTTGCTTCGTTGGTTCGTTGCCAGCCGGCCAGAGTACCTCCTTGCTTATTCTTCTTAATCTGACCATCTGAACTTCAGTAACGAGTGAGCGTGAGCAGTTGTTGATGAATGTCTGTCGTTTGTTGGAAATGGTTTCTGTAACTTGCCAGGTCTCTCAACCATCATATCGAATCACTGACTTGACTGATTTAGTGTTGAAATGCGAATCTTGTGTTACATGTTGAATTGAGTGTAGTAGATCTCCACACTGATTTCAGATTAATGCCTGAAGGCTTGTTTTACTGTCTTTTTCATGCTGGCTTTGACGTCCTCATCTGGGTCTGTACCACTTGTAGTTGAAAGGATGCTGCCTTTGAGGTAGGTAGGTGGGTATGTAGGTAGGTAGGTAGGTAGGTATGTAGGTATGTAGGTATGTAGGTATGTAGGTAGGTATGTAGGTAGGTAGGTATGTAGGTATGTAGGTAGGTATGTAGGTAGGTAGGTAGGTAGGTAGGTAGGTAGGTATGTAGGTAGGTAGGTATGTAGGTAGGTAGGTAGGTAGGTAGGTAGGTAGATAGGTAGGTAGGTAGGTAGGTAGGTAGGTAGGTAGGTAGGTAGGTAGGGAGGTGGGTAGGTAGGTAGGTGGGTAGGTGGAAGAGACAACTTCTCTCAAATTTTTTGAGTTGATGTTGCTTGTTGTTGGTGGTGGTTGGGTATTTTTTATCATCTATATCTTCTCTACATTCACTTGAAGGAAGTGTCGTCTTCGCTGCCTTGCCTCTTCTGCCCACTTGTAAGTTTTCGCCTATAGATCTTCGAGCTTGTGCTACATTATGCATATTCATTTACATAATCCAAATCTTCTAAGCTCTTTTTATTGGTGAAACATCGTATACTCATCTTCTGGCTCCTCACGATTTGCTACATGATCCAGTACATCACGATCAGGAAGATCATGGGTGATAGTAGGCAGCCTTGTCTTACCTGTCAACCTGTCTTCACTTGAAAGATATCACTGAGCTTTCCATTGTGAATCACTTGGCACATGGCGTCTTCGAATAGCTGATGAAGATTTTGTGGTATTCCGTAGTGTTGAAGCAACTTTCAAATTACTTCTCGGTCGACGATATATGATCATTTTAGTGGTTGCTCAATCACTTTTCTCCATAGTGAAGTTGCTACTGATAATAATGTTGTCTAGAAAGACATTGAAAGCATAACAATTAAACCATTCAGTTTAGAAAACACAACACATCCAAAATTCAGAAATGTTTCGTTAATGATTTCAAAAGATCTGAACATGACAATTTGTTAAGTGAGTTGTTGATATCTGCCTACTAATTTAGTTACAGTTCGTAATTGCACTTTAAAAACTCTCCATTTTCATTGATTTGTTAGATTTATCACACACTGGAACAGTATTGTGTACTGGATTACGTTTCGGACATAATTTTTGTTATCCATAATCATATCAACATAACCTCACAACTTTGACACATCCTCTATATAGTACTAATTTCCTCACCTCCTTTGTGATATACGTATTAGGATTCTTCATACATCTGTAACAGGAGTCATTC